ATTCTTTCTTTCTTCTCTTCAGAATTTCAATCTCAGAAATAGTATTTGAGAAAGCATCTTTTTCCACATCAACTGAGTGTATTTTTGAACTCATTATTCTCACTCAATGAAAAGTTGATCAGACTGTTTCAAAAGAAGAATAAAAGACTTTTATATATAAAGCACCTGATTTTTTTCACACTAGTTCAGTAACTAGATTAGATTTTTGAAGAGAATCTAATAAACTAAAATTGATTTTTAAGATAAATTAATAAAATCTTTAAAATCTCTTTCTTAAGATATAGTGAGGAAAAGTATAATATCAATTGATAATAAATCAAATAATACAATAGTTTTTGAGAGAAAAACTGATAAAAAATAAGTCAATATTTTGCAGAGAAATTGATTAAATCTATTTAATTTTATTTTAAATTATTCAATTCTTCTTACATAATAAGTATACAACTCAAATCAGTTAATAAAGAGTATAAAAAAGAATTAAATATTAATAAAAGCTCTTCAGTCACTGAAAAAGTAATTCTTACTTAAAAGAATATAAAATTATGATAGAAAATAACTCTGTTTTTAATTCTTTGTAAGTGTAACGTGGCGGAACCGAAGCGGTGACTAGTCGGCGGCGACATGTAAGAGTAGTTGTTTGAGAAGCTGTATGAATGAGCTTGACTATCTTGCTTGAATAGTGAGCTTGTAGACTACAGAGTTATTGCAAGAATATCACAGATATGATACTTAGTATACTAAGAAGATTGTATGAGACACACAGTAACTCTTGTGTATATTCCTGTAGAAGTAAAACAAATCACTGACTTCTTTGATAAGAAGCCAGCATCTAGCTATTCTATATAGACAATGAGTGAATACTCTTCTCTTATTTCACAAGTGAGAATAATCAGAGTGATATCTCAGCAGCATCTCATTGTCAAGAAAGAGTAATCTGCTGATCTTGTATAGAAGCAGGGTTCTCATATTCATCAATTGAATCTTTCTATGATATATCTGAATGATGTCATAGAGTGGTTGAAAATCAGTTCAGACAGGATAAAATCATCTGCATGAAAGCAATAAGTCATGTAAAATCACAATGAGATCTTAGCATGGCTGAGAGTGTGACAATGTTCTTCTCTTTAAGAGCATAGTCTCTATACTCTCAAGATTATCAGATTAGAAATTATCTTTGTTGTATAGTAACAGTTATCAACTGATTTGACAGTGTGTGTGCTGCATGTGATACAAAGAAATAGATGAGTTTTTCTGCTGACTGTGTAGATCTTTCTTTTTCCATCATCATTCAAACCAAATGCGTGATAAGTGGGTTCCTTATATATTGATTTGAAATGTGAGAAATATAGTTAACAAGTGGCTTGCAGATCTTTCAATATATTTCATTCTATGTATGAAATTCCCTGCAAAAGTGATGTGTTTTAGAGACAAAGCTAACAGTAGTGACAGGATTTTTCAAAAAGATTTCTCTCCCTGTGAAACATTTTTCTTCCCCCTCTCTCAATCACAACAGTAAGTGCATGAGAGTATCATTCTTGAAGGACAATCAAGGGCTTATTCTGATGTTTTCTAGTGAGTAATAAATGTCTTCATGGTGCAGCGGCGGCCTCTGTGACCACCAAGAAAGCCAGGTTGAAGGTGAAGGCAGCAGTGTCAATGAGCCGCGGGAGCACTGCTCTCATTGTCACACCTTCTTCTTCTCCTGCTTCTTTTGCAGCTGTGGTGGTAGTCACTGTGTCTTGCAGTGAGGTGTCATTTCTTCTGCTGATCAGTTCATCTGTGTCCAGTCTGTCCTCTGTCCCCCTCATCACTGTTGCGACGCCGCCCCCCCCCCCGGCCAATACAGTGGTGTATGACCTCATGTGGTCATTCAGAGAGGAACCTGGGGAGAGCTTGATTTCAGGGACAGTGACTCTGAGGAGCTCAATTCATAGTTCCTCTCTCACAGCATGTCTGAGCCCTGCTTGAGATGCTGCTGAGTTGGGTCTGCAGAGTCCTGTGATTCCTTTGTCTTCTTTCTGTGAAGAGGCTTCAGTGCAGCCTCTGGCCAGCACTGCTACTTGTCTGCACTGTGTCAAGCAGCTGAAGAAGAAGGGGATTCTGTGTATCTGTCTCTTCTCTCACTCTCATTGTTTCTGTTGCATCTGTAATAACAACTTCTATCTCTCTGTAAGTATTATCTACTCTACAAGAAGATGTCATATCAGCTCTGACAAGAAGCTCAGATGCTTAAGCAGTATAGAGTGAGAGTCTCAGAGCTTCAAGTATTGACAGATTCTATCAAGACTGAGGAGATTCCTCTTGCTTATCTGCAAAAGAAGGTGAAAGCATGAATCTCTGAGATGGAAAAACACCTCAGAATAACTGATCTCAAGAAGAGATCAGCTGATGCTGCTGCTGAAAGCACTACAGAGATCAATCACTGATTGAAGAGAATCTTACTTCAATTAAAGTAGATGACTGAGATGCTTTGTAAGTTGATAAGTTGATATTTCATGCATTTCTCATGCTCTTCTACAGCATGCTTCTCTGTGACATCACAGTACTAACTTCTCAGCAGGCAAAGATGCTGATGCCAGAGACTTCAACAATGAAGAATGAGTTTGATGAAGATATAGTTATTGATAAGTAGGCTCTGATCTCTCTTTTTACTTTTTCAGCAGGCTGCAGCCCTATTAGAATAGCAGTGACTCACAGATTGATAATATTAATCTTTTTATTGATTTCAAATATTCTTTTTCTTTTAACTGCTTCAGAAATGTTACACTTATGTAGTCTCATTAAACTTCTAAAAACTCTTTGAGAGAAAATAGAAGAAGAGTGCTACAGAGTCTATAAGATATCAGCTCATCACTGCAAGATTATCTCTAAAAAACTCTTTGAAAAAAATAAGAAGTCTCAAGCAGCATTTCTTGCTCAATATCTCTGATGTGTAATAGAGCAGTCTCTACTAGCTATCTCATAGATTGCAATCTCTTTCTCAGCATTTTTCAAATACTCAAGTGATTCTCATAAATTCTCTGACAATGAATAATCTTTTCATTTAACAAGGTATTGAAGCTTGCTGTAATATGTTCACTTATTCAATATTTTCTTCATAAGATATTCAGTATTATTCTCAATCTTTATACTATTCAGTCAAGACAGCTTCATCTCAGAGCATTGCTTATAGAGCTTTAAATAGAAAATGTGAAAAACAGAATGAATTGATTTCAATTCTGTGAGTAATTTCAACTCATATGCCTGCTTATTCATCACTCTTATTACTGAGAAAGATTCTAGTCACTGCTTACTGAGCTTCTTACACAGTCTCATTGTCTTGATATTCTTTACTGAAAGTAGCACTTGATTCTCTATTAAGAACTTCATTAGAAGATGTTTTTAATTATAGTATTTCATCTACTGCTTCTGAGTATAATGAATGCTTTTCACTGCCTTCTCATGAATTTTATTCAAAAGTTTCAATCTCACTTTTACTTCTAGTACTGAGAAATACTCTGTTCTCTGTATCTGTCTGATATTCTGACTATCTATTCTCTTCTTTGAAATGTCATCCGCGACATCACTGAGTAATGAAGAATTATATTCATAATAAGCATAGAAAGAAGATATCTTTAAGATTACATTCTTTACATTATTATATATGAATTCAGCAGTTAGAAGATATTTGAGTCAATCATTCTGATGATATGAATAGAATACTCAAAGATGCTGTTCTAGTGTCTGATTCTGATATTCAGTCTGGCCATTGATCTGCAAATGAAAAGTGATACTGAGAAGACATCTTATTATAAGATGATAGCAAAAAGCTGATCAGTACTTGCTAATGAAGAGGAATTCTTGATCTGTTATCAATGATTTCAGAGCACTGTGATTATAAATGATAGTATCTAAAAACAGATCAGTCAATTCAGAGGCTTTAATCTTTTTATAAGTAGAGATATATCTGATCATCTTCATAAAGCAGTCAATAATGATCAAAATTGAGTCATATTCTTTAACTCTTGTTGACTTCAGCAGATCAACTATGAAATTCATCAATAGATTCTACTATAAGTTCTTTGAAACAGGCAGTGATATCAACTCACTGTATTACTTATATCATAGAATCTTTATTCTTTGACAGATATTATAAGTCTTAATATACTTTTTGACATCTGTTCAGAGCTTGTCTTAAGTATATTTACATTTTAGAAGCTTCTCAGTCTTCTCTAACCTGAAGTGCCTCACATGGGAATCATTATGATGAATTCTTAATAACTTCTGACACACTGCTCTGCTATAAGAGATGAAGACTGAATCATTCAGCAGTAGAAGTTCACATTCTTCTAGTTATCAGTGACTTGATTCCTTAGCAGTATCACTCTGCTCAGGGCCTGTCTCTTTCAAGTTCAAACCAGATTCTTTCTTCTTCAACTTCTGAATTCAAGCTGTAGTAGAGATATCCCTCTTCTGTAACTTATCAATGAATTTTAAAAGTAGTCAGGTTGAAAGATTATAGACTGTTTCATTCTTTATCAATTCAATGATTGCAAGATGTGATATAAGAAGCTCATGATCTTCAGTGTCAGTCTCTCACAGAGACTCAGATTCTCTTTCATCTTCTATACTAAGTCATGCAGCTGCCTCTCTGACACTGTTTCTGAGCTTTAGAGAATCTCAACCCTCTGCAGTCAGCTTCTTCTGCAGTGATAACAGAGATTCTTTTGTAGAATTCTTCTTCACATCAATGATATTATAATCAGGCCGTCTAGACAGTGCATTAGCAGGGTTAAGCTGACCTGAACAGTATCAGATATAGAAATCATACTCTGAAAGCAGCTCTGTTCACCTGACTTGACATTCTGTCAAGCTCTTTGTTGTTAAGAAGTAACACAGATTTACATGATCAGTGAGAACTTACACTGAGTACTTACTACTCTGAAGATAATGTTGCTAGATCTTAAAGAATTCAACAATTGCTAACATCTTCTGATTATGAGTATCATACCTTCTCTGTGTGAGTGATAACTTCTTGAAGAAGAAGGTCACTGATCTTCATTCATAACATTTTATAGACTCTGTGAAAAAGTCTTCTTTCACAGACAATTCATTATCTATTTCTTCAGAAGTGATTATCTTCTGATTCTTTCAACATTGAAAGGTCTTCAATGTCAACTGTGAAAAGATTCTACAGATCTCATTCTCAGATATATCAGTCTCACACTGACTGAGTAAGTTGAAATTAAAATGATTCAGCATTGTGACATCTGTGAAAGCTTGTTTCAATTCCATAAACACCTACATAGTGTCTTGAGTGAGGATAAACAGTTCTGTTTTTCTGTCTTTTACACTTCTCTTCAACAGATCTGTAAGAGAGGCAGTAATCTGTGAATATGCATAGATGAATTATCTGTAGAAATTCATAAATTCTAGAAACATCTGCATCTCGCGGTATATCCGCAGTGCTGGCCAGTTCTCAATGATGGAGACCCGGCTCCTGTTCATTGAAATGCCATTTATCTCAACAATATAATCTAAGAAATCAATCTCCTGCATGTAGAATGAGCATATTTTAGTGTTTACATAGAGTTGATGCTGTCTCAAGTGACTCAACACTTCTTGAACATGGGTATCATGTTCTTTCTCTGATTTTGAGAAGATTAAAATGTTGTTCAGGTATACTATGCAGAAGACATTGACAAGGCTCTGTAGTGCCTCATTTATATAGATCTGGAAGATGGCTGAAGTGTTATAAAGATCAAAAGATAAAACAAGATATTCAAAATTGCTATACTTGATATGAAAAGCTGTTTTTCAAATATTATCTTTATTAACTCTGATCCTATGATAGGTATTCTGTATATCAATCTTTAAGAACATCTTTGCTTCAGATAATCAATTAATCATCTTGTCAATTAACAGTAATGAATAGTGATTCTTAACTGTTATCTTATTGAGGCCTCTGTAGTCTATGTATAGACATAGTCTATCATTCTTCTTGAACACAAAGAGTATAGATGTCTCTGTTGAACTCTTTGATAAATATATTCAGTTCTTTGATTGCACTTCTTCAAGATATTTGTGCAGAACATTCAACTCCTTTACAGATAAGTTGTAAAGAGACCTGTACAGTGTCATTGCACTGTCTTTAAGATGAATCTTATATCATATCTTGATATCAGGAAACTTCACTGCTTCTCTTTTCAAAAAGACATTCTTAAAATCTGTAAAGAGATGTTGTGTACATTCATCTTTAATAATGAATACTGCTGCTAATCTTGCAGTGAGAGTGATAACTTCTTCATCTGTTCTCAAGTCTCAATCATCTGCTATGCAGTATATTAACTCAATTCTTTTCTCAAGATTCTTTCAATGAAACTCTTCAGATTCCTCTATTACTGTCTCTTCATTAGTGAGACAGTACTGTCACATCTGAATGACTCAGTCAATGAGAGGATTGTTTTCTCTCAATTATAGAAGATCTAGAATGACATTCTCATCTATGATATTGACTGCATGAAGAAGCAGACTGCTCTTTTTAAAGGTTTCTTCTGAGTCTGTGATCACACACTTTGCTTGAATTATGTTAAAATAATGATATTTCATTTCATCTGTAAATTTCACATGATCTGACAGACCTATCTTCTTTCAACTCTTTATCAAAGAAAAGAAATAGAATATGAAGTTGATATCTATCTCAGAGTCAAGTAGACATCTCACTGATATCTTCTTATTCAGAGTATACATTGTGATTGTAACATGAACTCAGAGATGTGAGAATTGTCAATTCTTTTCTTTCTCTTCTTTATCTTTCACAAATATGTTTGTCAGAAGAGAAGTTGACTTCAAGAAGATATCTTCTCAGTTTCTTCTCTTCTTCAGCTTCTTACAATCACTGACATAGTAATCATCAGCTCTGCAGTTAAAACAGAGATCTTTATCAAATCTTTTTTAATATTTCTTTACAGTGAGTGAAGAATCAGAATACTTGAAATTCTTCTTTACTTTCTCTACACTGAAGCTGTCACAGCATCATTTAGATTCTGTCATTGATTGCTTAGAAGAGGTCTTATTGACCTTTTTCTCAGAGAATTAATTATTCAAATAGATTCAGAAAGCCAGGTTGACAAGCTCAGTGTGATTGATTGATGAACTCTGATATTATAATATCATTATCTGCACCTTGTGAGTCAGCTTCATGAGATAAAGCTGTGTTTTTAATTGATTCAAATCATCAGCCAGTTTCTCTCAATATTCTTCAAATCTTGCATTGAAATTGAAAGAATTCTTATTATCTCATTAATATAATGAGTTGAACTGCTGCATCATCATGAAGCCACAGTTGTAATAATCTTTGATTTGATTCAGTAGAAAGTTCTTGAATTCTTCTCAAGTCACAGCAGTATTGATACACTCAAGCTCTCTCTTCTTGATAACTCAAGTAGTTGCAGAGATGCCTTCAAGAAGGTTGATGATGTATATTACTCATATCTTATAAGTATTATACTGGCTCAGATTAAGACAGAATTTCTGTTCAAGAATACAGATAAAGCTGTGGAATTCAGACAAGATGTTTTTCTTATATCTCAGTGAATCTCTGATCTTAATCTCTCTATCTTCATGATAGATGTAGGTGTGTAGAGGCCGCGGCGGTGGCAGAGCAGTTGAAGGGCCCATGTCAAAATGCGCAGCAGGTTCAGAAATCTCGGATTCCTGCTGGGGTAGAGGGATACACACTCTAGGGAATGGTGTAGTGTTTCCCTCAGAGAGTGAGGTCAGATCAGTCCCAGTGCAGGTGCATGAGGCCATATCAGTCTGTTAGAGCTCAACTGATTCAAACATGTAATCAGATAGAGTGATTTGAATTGTAACATAACAGAATCAAAGCAGTGACTAGTTAGCAGCAATATGTAAGAATAGTTGTTTAAGAAGCTGTATGAGTGAGCTTGACTATCTTACTTGAATAGTGAGCTCATAGACTACAGGGTTATTGCAAGGATATCACAGATATGGTACTTAGTATACTAAGAAGATTGTATGAGATATGCAGTAACTCTTGTGTATATTTCTGTAGAAGCAAAACAAATTGCTGACTTCTTTGATAAGGAGCCAGCATCTAGCTATTCTATATAGACAATGAGTGGATACTCTCCTTTCATTCCATGAGTGAGAATAACTGGAGCAATACCTCAGCGGCGTCTCATTGCTAAGGAAGAGTAATCTGCTGACCTCATATAGAAGTGGGGTTCTCATATTCATCAATCGGATCTTCCTATGATATATCCGAATGATGTCATAGAGTGGTTGGAAACCGGTTCGGACGGGATGGAATCATCCGCATGGAAGTGATGGGCCGTGTGGAACCGCAACAGGGCCTTGGCGCGGCCGGGAGCGTGACAGTAAGAATATTATATAAAACTCAGAGAAAAACATCTTACTTTTTCAAGAGAAGTAAAAAATTAATTCTAAGATCTTTTTTTTTTGCATTAACTGCTGCAGAAGAATGAGATAGAAACTGCTAAGATATGCACTACTATATACTCTCTATCAAGACTTTCCCTCTTCAGAGTCTTGATATTATAGAGAATATATGTTTATTTCTATATAATAATATAAATATTATCAGTGAGATGTAGAGAAACTGATTATTTATATCTTAAAATAGAAGACTTTGTCAATGATTATATCAATATAGAGTGAACTCTTAAATTCAATAGAAATCTAGTATTACTATTCTCAATCTCTTACAGAATCTATTGAATATTGAGATATTCAAACTAGATTTAATATATCTCACTGTACAGAGATCAAAGACTGAGTCAGATCTTGAGATATACTGATTTTATAGTTATTATATCTGCTGATTATGTATTAAATACTGTTGATGAGGTATCTTTTTGTATCTTTCTACTGAAGATAGGTCAGGTTGAATGAGGTGATACATGAGTGAAACTTGAAATTGATGTCTTGATACATCAAAGACAGACACAGAGATTGCACTTTAAATGTGTTCATTAATTATATACTTGATACTATTACTGAGGTATCTTTTTGAATCTTTCTGTCAGAGATGAGTCAGATTGAGAAGAGTGATATGTGAGTGAAACTTAGCATTGATGTTTTAAAACATCAAAGATAGACAGAGTTTTTGTGAAGATTGCTTCTCAGATATCTTCACAATTACAGATCAGAGATCTTTTAAAATCAAGGAGATTGATGCATATGACTAGGTCTCTTCACCTTACAATTTGTATGGCAATTTGGCCCAGGGTTGTGGTGTGGTAGAGGTGAACAGGGGATAATCCCACACAGGAGTTTTGAATGACATCTGGTTCACATTTGACTGGATAACTCCACCACCACACGGGGTATGCGGTCGGCGATGGGGTCAAAATGCTTGTATGATCGAGGGCCTTTCGATGGATCTATCGGGGGGTTCTTATTCGAAAAACTGAGCGAGTTCGTGGTGAAGCGGTTGTCGTAAAATCTGCAGTATACATTCTATAGATTCTACTTACATTTTTGAAAAGATTTAATTGCATTATCAATATCAGTTCTGACATATACTGATGCAGTAAAACCTAGATTCTTCATGAATTGAACTCAGTGTGCATAGTAATTGTAAGCTTAGTTCTTGATATGTAAGAAATAGATTCATCTATATCTGATCATGTTATTCATAATTAACTTGTAATATTTATTACTCTGCGGTAATTCAACAGAGTGATTCATAGACTCACTCAATATTCATTTATTATTTGCAAGATTGATATGAATTCACTTCATTAACTATACAGTCTGTGATATAAGAGTGATTGAGTATTTACATATCATACTCACTTTAACACAGATATTGCAAAAGAAATTGATCTTGATATCTTTGATATAGATACTGAATAGTGAATTCTTTATCAATACTATAATAGCTTCTGCATGTATATGTTCTAGATTAACATGTCATTCTGCAAGTGCTTTCGCGGTTGTAGATGAGTCTTGAGATTGAGATTAATCATCAGTGAAATTATTATCATCAATAGTGATCATGGCTTCAGCATAGTTATTATCATATACATATAATTTTGATGTGAAGTAGACTGCTTTAGACTTATAATGTTCTGACATTCTTTCAACTCTTTTATAAATTGAGTTCTGAGATGTACAGATTGCAGTGAAAACCACTTCATTTAACACTTTAATAATGAAAAAGAATGAAATGTTCAAGCTTGAAAGCTTATATTGAAAACTCTGATTCTTCAACCTGGTGAATAACAATATATTGACTGTAAGATTGAGAATATAATGAATATCATAGACAGTGATATCTCTCTCTTCAAATTCTAGAAGAAGATTGCTGATCTCTTTGACATAGCTGTAATCTTCATTCACTGTATAAATCTTCATATTGTCATTGTATATCTTCTGCTGTATGAGAGACTGTTTTTCACCTGTCATATGAAAACTCGCACATGTGTCAAGAAATCAAGACTTGCTTGTTATATCAATAGTTGCTGAAAATGCAATTGCTGCATTGACAGCTGCAGATTGAGAGATTATAAGATCAGAGAATTCTTTCTTCTTATCATCTTTGTCCTTTTTTTTATCCTTTCACTTGCTGCGTCTGCTAGCATTGTTGCTATTATTCTTCTCAGATATAGTGATATGTTTCTTATTTAACTCACATCACTATTCAGTAGCAAGTTCTGAATGCAGATGCTAACAGGCATGTTTTCAGTGTCATCTTAAACTGTATATCTCACATTTGAAACTGTGTGTAGACAATGTAGTAAGAGTTGTAATAGTTATATTAACTCACTTAGACTTAGAATATTCATTCTTGAACTTACTTGTACAGTTTGTCAACTGTTTCATAAGATTATTAATATTAATATTGTGTATAGAGTTCTGGTCAGATGTATAGAAATTATCTAAATATGTCTTAATAAAAGATTTTTAATAATTCTTCAGATCAATAAGAAAGAGATTATAATAGAAGTTCTCTATATTATTTATCAATTTCTTATAATATATAACTAGATAACAGAATCTTCTCTGAAATGCTAGATAATTGTTATCTTTGACATGTAAGATGATCAGTTCTTTTACAATATTCATATATTTCTCTACAAGTGAGACAGTATATTCAACTTCAATTCTTTCTCATAATGCAGCTGTGTTATCTGGCTCAAGAGTTTCAATGATTGTATATACAGACTCTAATATGAACTGCAACATACAGTGATACAGTGCTTTGATACAAATACTTCATTTTTCAGCATTTAACATGTCTTGACTGATGTTTTCTGAGCAGACTTGTTGATTTTTTATAAGAATGTCAGATCTGCTTATGATTTCAGCATTTACAAGAATTTCTATACATCAGATCTCATAGTTATTGTCATCAAGTATAATTGTATAAGTACAGCTTTGATATTTATGACTTTTTGAACATTCTTTTGATATTCACGGATTTCAGATTTGAAATTATCTGCTGCAGAGATAGTAACTCAACACACACTCATTCTGTTACAGAATGCTATAAGGTTATTAAATGTTATTAATATCATATCATCTAAACTCATTCTAGATATGATACTCGTGTGTCGCGCTTCTATATATGTTGCTTATGAGCTTGAAATATTATTATCTTATTCATAATCTGCTCTACTATTTGCAGATGACTTCATAATCTCTTCTGTAACCTTTATATAGTATATAGTATCTATTTTCTCTGATTCTTTGTTAATAAATACCTGAGTATAGAAATGTGAATGTAAAGTTCTTCTTCTATCACTTCATAATGTAGATAAATCACTCATCAGTCAAAGAAGAGTTGAATGAAGAAATTGAAAGAAAAAATATGTTGTATTATACTGTAGAGTTCTGCTATTTCACTTACTAGTCAAGCAGATACACTTAAAACATGCAATGTAAACATGGTAAAAGAATTCTTCTATTCAGAATGAACACATTCAATGCTTACATAGATGTTTTTAAATAAAAGTAAGAATAAAAAATAAAAATAAAAATAATGTAATTCTTTGTAAAAATATGCTATTCAGACTATAATCTGTGAAATGATTAATCTGTTATATTCATGTAGAAAGAGCTAGCTATATATATATTATATATGAGATCACGTGTAGGCGGAACGGTTGCTACGGCAACGCTACTAGAGTGAACGCTACAGATTTCCTCTCTACAAGCCGACTACTTCTGTATAAGTGAGGTGTTTGTCAATCACTTAGCAAACGCCTATTATATAAAAGGCCGCATAATAGATAGATCTTGATAATCAATCAATTACTATATTATATCACCTTCATCAGATTATGTCTCTTTTACATATAAGAATTCACTCTAATTTGCTATATTCTTACACTTCATACTTTTAAATTAAAGAATTAATTACATTCTGAAATGCTGTATTACTAGACTAACTATGTGACTGTATCTGAAATCAGAATCAGAATATTTGATAATCTTATTATCAATTTAACTAATCTTATTACATAGTTTTAAGATTAAATAGTAGTTTTATACTATTTCAGTAAGACTTACTATCTACTCTTATTACATTTTTCAAATAAGATTATGATTTTCACTTCTTAATTTAAATTCTTTTTATTGCTTTAAATGATTTTAAATCTCATTTAAGTATTATTAAAAAGCATTACTTTTTAAAAAATTAAAAATAGTTTAAAAAAAACCTTAAAATGTCTAAAAATAGTAACTTTATATTGAGAATGAAACTAAATGAGATTAAATAAGATTACTTTCTTATTATTTCTAAGTTATAATTTCATTTTAAG